GCAGCATCTGGAGGTGCTCCGGGACACGCAGGTGTCCCCGCTCGTGTCCCCGCTCGGGGTGCCCCGATGGCGCCTGCCTTCTGTGCGGGGGTGCGTATCTGGGAGGCTGTGACCTTGAGAAGAATCATGGCATCAAAGGTAACATCCCTTTGTAAATGCAGGTGAGGTGCTGCCGAGTTCTGCTTGGTTAGTAATAAGACAGCATTAATGAGAAAGAATTAGGTAATTATTTCTCAAATCACATTTGAAAAACACTATTTGCTGAGCTTTGGGGACGTGTCTACAAAGATGTGGGTTCATCTTAAAGACTTATTAATACATTGGCATATGTTGGCGTGAGGAGAAAGGAGGCAAGGGGAAGGACAAGGCACCACAGAGTGGATTCTGGTAAACAGAGCTGTGGCTGGGGCCCTGGAGTCGGGACACTAGGGGACAGGCTCCATAAGATTCGTGGTGACACAAAAACCTAACACCCCTTGCTTTCCAAACTGAGCAACAGAAGATGTTGGCTTCTATGTTACACCTCAAAGATCTCATATTTTAGGTCAAAGAGGAAAATTCAAAAACAAAAAGAAAACAAAAAACAACAGTCTCCTTAGTTAAAAAAAAAAAGTATCTGTAGCAAATTTGGGGTTTGCGTTTATTGCTCAGCAGGGAAGAGCTGTTTAAATCCTCCAAAGCAAACAGACTGCCACCAATCCTCCTGGGAGGAGTCGGCAGTTTTCTTTTGACAACTCATTTGCTAGATCCTAATTATACTGTAGGTTTTGGTGGTGGTGGTTGTTTGTTTATTTGATACCAAAATCAGGGGAAAAGTCAGATGGAGCAAAATTACACAACATTCAACTCTCTAGAGAAGAAACTCAGGACGTGAAAATTGTTGCTATCTGTCATCTGGGGAATCATTAAAACTAACCTTAAAAATAGGATCAATGGCCCCTCCCTGCTTGCTAATTTCTTATATGACAGCTTATCTAAGGATCAGCTCTTGCATTCTAGCAGCCCAAAGGCAAATTTTGTTTGAACTGAGTCTGCCCTTCTGACGTTTAAGAATACAAAGGTTTCACTTTCCTGCTCCACAGATTCTTAGCTGTCCCCTTGCTCTGCCAGGGCTCGGCCCAGGTTGCCCAACACTGAACCACCCACTGCCTCTGTGGATGCACCATTTTCCTTCCCTACTCTTCGCCTGCACCTAGAGCATGCATCTCACGGCTGGCAGCAGGCAGGCAGCGCCCAGGGGCACCGAGCCCTGAGCCCTGACAAGGCTCTTGAGCCAGGCCTGAAAACTGTGGCTCGTCTTCATGTCGCAGCAGGGCAGTGGGCGTGTTTAATTGGTTCTGACTTCAGGATTCAGATCCTCGTTTTCCCCGGAGGTGTGCATTGCAGGAAACAATATTACCAAAGCCAGGTCCTCTCTCAGTGGCTGAAATTAATCAAGTTGCATGGTCATTTGTAATAGGAAAACAGAAGAGAGCGTTGGAACGTTTAATTACAATATTTTGTAATTGCTAAATCACCAGTGACATCATGCAATGCTCTTGGCGCGCAGATGCATGATGTGTTTCCATTGAGAACGCAGAAATGCTCAGTAAAAAATGAAGTAATTGCATGTATCCTTTCTCCTCCTCTGTCTTCCCCAAAGGGACCAATTCAAATAGATCATTTGACTTGATTGTTTTTAATTATATTGTAAACATTTCACAAAAGAATCTGGGATCAAGGTGAATACAAGTCAGTGGGTAATAAAAATACAGGCTCCAATTCTTCTTGGATGACAGATGAAATGAGTTTAATATATTCTTGCTCTGTGGAAAACATGAGCATTTAAAAGTGCAAACAACTGAATTCAATTAGTAGACCTTGTTCAAAGCGGCCAGGAGACCTGGAGGGCAAGGACCTCCTATTATCTCCGGTCCTAGAACTGTCAGAGCATCGTCCCAGCCGCGAAGGAGCAGCGAGCGTGGGCCTGCGCCTGCCAAGCAGGCCGGGCAGAGACTCCGCGCTGATGGTCTCAACCCCTCACCTCACATAAGCACTTAATTCATCAGAAAGACACGAGAGGAGCAAACACATCCAGCGTTCAAAGATGGACTGCTAACTGCACTGCTTTCAAATGCAAGCAGATCCCAACGGTAGAGCCCAATTCCAAACTTTCCTCTGCAAATAAGTCACAGTCAGCAGTTGCCGGGCGCCTGCACTGCTCGCCCACCAGAGGCCCTGCCAGAGGCCCGCTGGGCTTTTCGAGTTGGCGACAGCTTTGACTCTGGAGAAGCAGCGTCTGCTGTCTGAAAGAGGAGAGCCTTGCTGTGGTGTGGGGATGTGGCCTTGGGCCCTAGCGCGCTGGCTCTCACAGTCCCGAAACGCATAAGGAGCGGGCTCACACATCTGGTTGCTCTGACCAGTTTGGCAGGAAGAGCAGGAAACTGACCTGAGCAGGGACGCTGTTGTCATCTGAACCATGCACTGTCAGGTCTTTCCTTTGTTTACGCGGTTGTTCATCACGGTTCTGTGGCAGAGACACGGCGGGGGGCCTAGACACTGAGGAGCACGATTCACTTAGGAAACCGGAACCCTCGGCGGGTGTCCGGCCTGGGCTGGAGGACTACAGCAAAGACATTCAGCGAGCGGGTGGCGCCTGAGTGGGACCCGCAGGAGGGCAAGCCGGGGGAGACGCCCCGTGGAGAGAGACCCCGTGGGCCATGCCTGTGTCCCCTCCCTGCCATGGGGCCACGCCTGGACTGTGCAGGAACCTGGAGAGACAGCTTCTGTTGCTCCACGTGGGGGAATCCCTGCCTTTGATTCGGGGAACGTTGAGGTTTATTGTTTTCCTTTTTAAAACGTTGTTCTTCAGCCCTTTCTCTCCATTCTGGTCACCGTGCACTCGTGTTGGGCCCGTGCTCTGTCAGCTGGAGGCCACGCCACTGTGCACTCTGAAGACAGCAAGTCAGGAAGCGGGGTGCAGGCTGCTCCGCGAGAGGCGGGCATCCCTGGTGAGACTAGCTGGAGGTGACAGCCCCAGGATGGAGATCGGGTGGCAGAAAGCCTCCAAGGTGGTTAGGGTTGGGCACAGAGCTCCAGGCTGCTGGGAGGAAGGGTTGGGCGGGTCATGGCGCCTTCCCGCTGAGCGACCTGGCAAAGAGGGTGAACAAGGACTGAAAGGTCATTGCAGGAAACCCAGGGCTACCTTCCAGTTTGAGGACTAAGAAAGTGCTGCCTCGCTGTTTGAAGGGGCGTTCAGCCTGTGGATTGAGTGGAGAACAGCTGGGTCCTCCGAGGGCCCGGGGTCTCCTGGGTGGTGGCAGGTGACAATGTGCCGGTGAGCAAGGGACCTGGGCGCAGGACAGACGGAGAGCGGAGCCATCAGCCCGACTTCCAGACGGAAAGCGGGGAGGCTGGGAGCGGGAAGAGGCAGAGCTCAGCTCTGCGGGGGAGGCGGGTGTCACAGCACAAGGGACGCTGTCCTTCTCACCCACAGTCCCCAGGGAGCATGCACTGTGTCACGCTGTGGCTGGGGAAGCCATGGGTACCTTGGTCTCTAACCGGGAAATGCGCAGCCCGTGGGGCACGGGGACACACGTCCTGCCTGGACTTTCCGGAGTTGTCCATCTTTTCTCTCTTATTTTGTTTCTTAAAGATATCGATGAACCCAGCGGACGATGCTGGGAGATTGATGAGCTCGCTGCTGGCCGCGCCGGCGCGGGCGGGATCGGGCTCCGGCTGCAGGGCCTTGGCGCGAGCGAGGTCGGTTCCAGCCCCGGCGTGGCAGGGCCTGCTCGCCTCACCCCGGACGGCGTGGGGCTCCCGCGTCGCCTCGCAGCCCCGTGTGCGGGAAGGGGCGGCGGGGCGGGGAGAGGCGGCTCTCCCACGGCCGAGACGCGGCGGCCGCTTCCCTGGGTTGAAGGAATATGAATGCCGGACTGTGCTCAGGGTCTCGCCCAACAAACGCGAAGTTCCGTGCAATACGGGACGGCCTGAGGCAGTTTCTGGCCCTCGCCCGCGACACCGCAGCCCCGCACCCTCCTCGTGCCCGAAGAGCCGCCGTGGGTGGCGACAGCACCGTTTCCTGTTTGCTGCCTCAACTCCCCAGCGAGCCGGTCCGTTTTCAGGCCCGGGCTTTCTCTTCTGGGACTGTCCACAAGGAGGCCGATTAGTGTCCGTTATAGCAATGGATTTTGTGATGTGGACATTTCCCACTTGTAACTGGACTGAACTCCCCGGTGAATCCCACAGGGTCCAGAAAAGCATTCGAGTCCTTTGTGATGCCAGCACAGGTTTGCCCTCGCTCGGCCATAAAGGCCCTTGGGGCTCCAGCAGTTACTGTCGCCGCAGCTGTTCCCGCGCAAGACACCAGCCCGTCCACGGCCGAGTTCCAGCGCTCTGATGCAGTCAAAGCAAAGCGACACGCCCAGTTATTAGCTGACACCCGCCGATCCCCTCCGGCGCTGGCGCCTCTGCCTGTCCCGGGAGAGCCCGCGGGCCCTCCGGTGGGCGCCGCGCGGCTGTGCGAGCGCGAGGCCGAGCGCGGTCGGGGAGTCCCTGGAGGACCCGAGCTGTTCTGTGAGCTCTTCTTGGCCACTTGGGACAGACCTAAGCCGCTATTCGAAGGGAAACCAGACCTATTTCTTTTAAAGCCAACACATTAAAATGAAAACGAGGGAGCCCCGAGGGACACGCACGGGAGCGTGGGGCAGGCGCTGCCTCCGACGGGCTCGGCCAAGGGGAGAGCAAAGCTCCTCTTCGCGGAGGCGCCACGCTGCGAGAGGACGCGGCACGTGCTCGCCTCCACGAAAGGCGCACTCATGTCAGAGCCACTCCCTGGAGAGACGATGACGTTCAAGAGCCCTTTTCTGCGACCACGTCCCTCCGGGCCGCAGGCCGCAGGCCGAGCGCGGCGCTGGGAGGGCGGCCGGAGGCGGCGGGCGCGGCGGGCGCAGCGGAGGCGGGGCGCGGAGAGGGCTGCCGGGCTGCGTCTTCCTCCGAGGGCCGGGCCCTGCCGCAGCCCTCTGTTTGCATTAGGGTAAGAAATAAGAGCCGATTTCAAGTCCAACAGAAACCGGAAGAGTTGGTAATTCTAGTCAAGCAAAACTTTGAAAAAGGGTTTCTAGACCCAGCCGCTTCCTGGGGTGGCCGCAGATGGGCAGCCTCCCGGGGGGCCGCGGAGAACAAGTCAGGCCTCCGTGGGGGGCACGAACAGGCCTTCCTGTTGGCCACAGGATGTCTGCAATTCCCAGCATTCCCTACCCCCTTGGACTGAGGCCGCCCTTCCAAAGGCCCACAAAATGCATGTTTGTGGGGAGAGATGAGGGTCACCCGGCAGGCATGTGATAGCAGGGATCTGAAGGACCGGGTGACAGCCCGGATGGGCCATATTGAAGTAGGGGCGAGGGTCAGAGGGTCAAGTCTACAGCCATATATTTCAGATCGTGTTTGTTCATTGGTGGTTCATGAAATCAATTTATTCCAAGGTAGCCAGCCTTTGAAAAATGAGTTAGAACACACCAAACACAATGTACATTATTATGTGTACTGTATTTTTATGAAAACAGACCTTTTGTCTCATATCCACTCCTAAAGAGGTGGATATGGTTAAAATATTTGTTAGATTGAACCACAAGCCCAGATAAGCTGCTGATTGTCTAACGTCACAGAAGTCAGTATGAAGCTGAAGCTAAAAAGCTGGCCTGTTAAATCCCAGTTCATCCTTACCAGGACATTCCTCTCAGGAACTCGGTGAAAAGGGGAGACTCTATGAAATATGTCCCTAACAAAGCATGTCAGCGGCTTGAACAGAGTAAACCAGTCCTGATCTGAGAGTTCTAAGCAATAAATGCAGCTGAGCATTTACTGCGCACAGCCCTATCACGGGGCCGTGGAGCGCTGGAGCCGTGCAGCTGGCGAGGGCGTCTGCAGCCAGAGAAGGCGAAGGACGCGCCCAGGTGGGATTATTTATGGTGTGCTGATGAAGAGACAACTTTCCATATGAGGAACAGCTTAACACAGGAACAGTCAAGCTAAACTAGGAAGACGTCCAAGTGAGAAGAGAGAGCAACAAAAGGGGACGTGAATAAAAATGACAGGTAATAAAACAATACAAATCTAAAATGCTGTAACTTTCAGAAATAATTTAGGGCCAAAAGACAAGAAAAAAATCTAGTTTTGCTGGCATTGGGACAATTTTCCAAGAAGCAAAAGACATCAAGCAGAATGAATGTGCTGAATTTAAGACCGAATTTGCCTCAGTGTCTTTCTAGCTACATAGATAAATCATGGCACAATCTGTCAGAGATTTCCAACCCCGCCCTCTTATTCTCAAACTTATAAAACTATTTGCAAAACGGCATGGATTAAGTTTTCCCTTTTTGTACTATTTGAGCCAAATTATGCCTATGAATACTTTCTTTTAAAACTAGACATTTAAAAAGTTAAGGCCTACTAGCTTATCAATCAGAACTTACTTTTGTTTTAGGTAACTTCCTTGAGCACAGCACAAAGCTATGAGATGCCTGGGCCTTCGGCAAACAGGGCTGGCCACATGCATGGAGGCTTCATCCAGTCCGAGGTTTTAGTAGGGTGGGTGCTCAAACTCCCCCTTCTAAGAAAATGATTTTGTAGTCAGGATGGCCAAGAGCCTCAAATGGCAGCTTTACTGATTCAAGGTAATTTCCCAGGAATTTAAGAGGCAATCATTTACTCTTGACTGTCAAAGAGAATCTGGGCTTGAAAGGCAAAGTTGCATCCAAAATTGATCAACTGGCAACAACCCTCTGAAGTCCTTGGGAGAGCAGGAATGCAGCCCAGACACTTACACATCTGGACTGATCTAGTTCACTTTCCAGGTTGTAAATTTTCTGGCCCCTAAGACTATTTGAAAATAACTTTTTACAAAGAAAGAAGATTTTTTATTAGCTGAAGTACTAATTTTTTTTTATTATTTTGTATGGAACACCATAGCCATAAGACTTGCCAACAACTAATCTTCAAGACAATGCACATTTAAAAAAGTAGCAAAATTACAAAACAAAACAAAAAACACCTAAGTCCTGAAAACATGGATTTTAAATTACTGTAAATGACAACCTTATTAAAATACTACTCTACAGCACATTCAAATAACCATGGTATTTAATGAATATCAATACTTAGCATCTAACTTAACACTAAGGTTGAGACTAAAATGGTTTTGCCACCTGGAAAATTTTCACATTTGTTGATCTACATAAGCAGGAAACATCAGAACAAAAGGGGACACACACACACATTTTTTACTGAAAACTATATTTGAAGAACACCCTAGAATCCTTTATATTTCACTCTCAAATTTTGGTCTTTTTATTTATTCTGAAATAAAGTCTAAATATTAAGAGTCAATACATAGAATTTTAAAATAAGACTACATATGGCTAGAAAAATATGCATCACAAACATATATTTTATCTCATAAGAAAATAAAACTATGCACAAAAATCACTTCTGTTCATTAATGCTGATCCTAACTAGTTTGATCTTTCTAATTAAACACCACCATAAAGCACAGAACTCTCACGAAAGCTTGTCTTGGTGTCTCATTTTTCAGTTTCACTGGAAAGCTCAATCACCCCCTGGTTAGAGAAGGCATCTAGAATAGCCCACAGTCGCGAAGGGTCCTGGCAGCTATGCTGGCGTTCCCAGTGGAGGAGGAGGTCCTCTCTCCTCCCCAGCACCTGCGGACACAGGAGGCAGTTAAAGCCAGAGTGGGACCACAGGAGAACAGTGTGGAGGCCGGGGCCCTCGGGGCTCCGGGGGCTTTCCCTGGGCTCATCGGTTCCTGGTTGGGCTCCTTCGTTTTCCACGAGTATTTCCACACCGTTCTGATGATGAAGGTAGAGCTGCCTTTTTAATTTAGGGAGTGCATGTAATTCCTCCTCAGAGGGACTGTGCTTCACTAGCTTTCTTCTTTCGGGATGTGGTTTCCAGTCAGGAGTGGCGTGTTTGACCAGTGCTTCCTGAGCTACCTTGCTTCCTGTTAAGATCCCCTGTTGTAGCCTACCCTGAATTTCCTCTCCGTGAACATAAAGTAAATGAAACTTTATTTCAGCGAAAGACTGAGCAGTGATCTGACAACGGCCACATTTGATTTGTAATTTGACTTCGTCTGCCTGGTTTAGAAGGAAGTCTTCTTCCAAGCTTGACTTATTTTCCCTGAAAAGGCCAAAAATTGTACATGTAAGATTGCATGGAAAAACATAATTGGAACTTATTCTTTCAGCTCTTAGTCTTCAGGGATCTAAACGCACTCACTGATGACAAGTACGAAGGATGGCGTGGACAGAGAGACCCTGGGAAGACATTCCGCAAAGGCCAGAGTGAACACTAACTATCACTTCTGCTTGGGGCCACACATTTCTTAAGCTACAAGGGTCCATTTGGTAAAAGAGTCTTTACCTTTATACACCTCCCCCAGGTGAGCGAACTCACCTCTGGTCCCACAGGGACGGTGTAATCAACATGGAGAATCAGGTAATACCAAATGCGGCACTGTAGGAACACACTTGGTTCAGGCGAAGTAACTGTCCCACGACCCCCTGTGGCTCTCCCTAACCTTGAGCACAGAATGTGGCATGGACATTATGCCTAAAATTCCAAATCTAACTATAAGAAAACAAGTAAGAATTGAGGTTTCTTTGTCCATTAGCAGAAAGCACAGATGTCTGAAAGAGGACAGAAATGCCTAAGAAAAAGAGAGATATTATAGAAAAGCAAGGAAGAAACAGGATAGGCATCCCTTATTTTTATCAGATATAACAGAGTAAGCCAAAATTGAATGGAAAGCATTTAGAGTAACTGGGACAATTATGAACAACAAAGTGCAGAGCATCTGAAGCGCTGCAAAAGGTTCACTTCTTCCACTGCTGATGAGAACTGATGGCAGTGAAATGCCCTCAAGCCACCTCAGTGGGAAGTGGATGCACAGCCCAGACTGAGGTGTTTCCTTGGTGAACTACTGCCCTAATGCCTGTCTGCTTTCCAATTACTTAGCTTATTTGTTTATAATACTAGGAAGCAGTACCTGCAAAAAGGAATGACAAAGGAAAAAGTTAACCGAACCTGATGGGAAAAACAGGGCAGATGTAGAGGGTGAGGTCTGGGAGCTTGAGGGTAGGTCCACACAGCTGGCGCCCTCTGAGTCCCCACCACAAGTCACGCCATGTTCTGGGGCTAATGATGCTATTTAGATATAAATTCAGTGGACATGATTTTTTGGGGGAAATTAGTGTAAAGACTATCAGGACTACATACAATAATTTACTATTTCATTTTCAGAAGCAAAAATAATCTTCTCTTACCCACCTGTCCCCAGCACAAGTTAGACCGGCATTTATGCTTTGGCTTACATAGGTCAGTGTAAGTAACAATGATGACTGATCACAAACCCAAGAGGCATGAGATCATTCTTCACAAAATAGGAGGCATAGGTAGCTACCTTAGGAATCTTAATCCAATGAATGTTTTTATAAACTCTTCTTTCTGAATATGCAATCCTACCCTCTCCACCAAATCAAAATAGACTTTCTTGCCAGGTTTCCATTCCATTAGCACTCACCTCTCCAGCGATCCTTCTGTCCCTTGCACACTAGTGTCTCTGTTCTTTGGCATGTCTCCTGGCTGCACTTCACCAGGGGAGGGCTCGGTGCTGATCACAACCCTATGCACTTCTTTCAGATGGCCAAAATAGACTCGAACGTGACCGAACACTTTTGCACAAAACTCACAGCACATGAGTTTCTTCAGACGGTTCTCTCCATGGTGAAGTTTCATGTGTGTACTCAGGCTGCCAGAACGTACATAGGCCTTGCGACAAATCCGACAACTGTAAGGCCGTCTGTTGGTGTGTGTGTTCATGTGGTCTTGAAGGTGCTGCTTGAACTGGAAGTGGTGGTTACAGACGTGACATCGGTGCCAAGGCTTCTTAGTGCCAGAGAATCCACTTCTGAACACAGAACTGGGCTTAGGGGAAGGGCTGTTGTCCTGCTTAGGGCCAAGACACTTAGCAGTGAGTGAATTATTTAACAGGGTGTCCTGTCCTAGGCCCCTGAGTGTTTGTGATTGTAGTGTAGCTGCAGGAGAAGCCAGGGGAGCCAAGGTGGGAATGACAATTACAGGTTTGGGCATAATGCTACGATATTTTTTCACAGCTCCAGGTTTTTGGTCTCTGGATTCTTGGGAATCAGTTTTTACTCTTTCTTTACCATCTCTAAACTTGTTAATGATGCATTTTCTCCTTTTCCCCTGAAGTGCCAAAATTTCATCTGGTACCTTTCGTTTTCTTCCATTTCTCTTTGCTGCCCCACTATTCAGTTTTGTTTTGTGGTTGAGATCTAGCTTGGTGGCTATACAACAGGCATTTTCACAGGGGCTCTGCTGTGACACCTGTGAAGCAGGCATCTTGCTGGCCATTTTGGTGGCTGCATCAAAGCATTCTGTGACGGTGGATGTCTTATCACCATCTGCCCCGTGCCCCAGTAGAGAGAAACCTGCAGTGTTAGCACTTGATTCCATTTTGTAAGCCTCCGCTGCTTTCATTCTTGAGTAGGGTAAGATTGGCACTTTCCCTCTGGGGACTGCGGAGATCCACTGGACTGCACTGCCCAAAACACCTGGTGATAACTTGGTCATGGCTTTTGCGAGGTCAATTTGTTCTTTAAGGTTTTCACTGGTGACGGCAGCAGGTTTGCTGGATGTGTTCTTGCTCGTAAAGTTTGCTCTCCCTGAAATCTCTGTGGGGCCCTGCTTGGCAGAGGGCCCCTCCGGGGTGGATGAAATTGAGGTGGCAGCAGGGTTCAGATGACCACAGCTCTTGGTCTCTGGAGGTCTCGAGTCTCCATGGTCACAGCCATTGGTCAGGGTGGCTGTGCTGATGCTGGCTGGGGTTTGCTCTAGTGACGGCACTTGTTCAAAGGGACTGGGTTTGTGTGGGAGTTCAGGCTGGTCAGTTGAGGTAAGGGACATCTGAGGAAACCCTTGGGTTTGGGCAGGAGGTTTGCTACAGCCACTCTCAGGAGGGCTCAGGATGGGTTTCTTTCTTGATTCTTTGTTATTTCTTGGGGGTTGATATCGAGGAATAGGCAGTTTAAGGTTTTCAGGCAGGGGCATTCTGGGTTTCTGAATTGCCTGAGCTGAGGCAACATTTGGCAAAGCGACAAGAGAAAATGTCCCCTCTTGGCCAGCAACCTGCATCAGAGCATAGTTCTGGGTGGACATCCCCAGTGGCTTAGCGCTGAAGGAAGGTCCCAGATTCACCTGATCAGAGAGTGATGGTGAATGACATGGCAGCATTCTGGATGTTAGGACTCTGGGCACAATTTTTGGTGCAATGGTCCTAAACTGACTCTTACTCTTTAAACCTTTCCCACTTTGTATTTTTCCAGAAGGAATGTTTGATTCACCTGCAAAGATAACACAACATAAAAAAAAATCACTGAAGAGTAACTGTCATGTTTTGGAGAGTTCAAATAAGTACCTTATTTATTCTGCCTAGAACAGATTCCTTGGCCTATCCCTACCCTCCTTGGCAAACTTATGTGCCCTTCCAGATGAGCTTGAAGGTCAATTCCTGCCCACCTTCCCCAAAGATTCCTGTTTTCCTCTATGGTTCCATAGCCCCTGTTACAATATTTACCATTTTTATAATAATTCAGGTATTTATGTGTCTCTGCTACTAAATACAGTTTCTAGAGAGTGAGGACTCTGTCCTTCTCACCCTGTACCCCACAAGTCTTCCTCTCCACTTCCTGATTCTGACTCATTGTCACAGGCCAGGGAAACCCCATCTTTACTGATCTCCTGAGCTGCAAGGTTTGTCCTCTGGTATGTTTGGCTGTATATTTTATTTATATATATGTCCTGCCTTCCCTATTAAACTCAAGTTTTGTGACAGTAAAGCCTGCATTTAATTCATTTTGATATTTCCCACTGTATCCGTGGTATGAAACAAATGTTTCTTGTATCAAACCCATTTTTCACTCAATTTCAGGATACACCATTTGACCCACTGGCAGTGCAATTTGTTTTGCACAGTGGATGAATTCCAGACTGAATGCTAGCTTTGTTGCTATTTCCCCATGTGACTTGAGAATTTCTCCTCACACCTTTCAAACTGTTTATGTATACTTTTGCAATTAAATCACCACTATTAAAAAAGCTGATGTGACACCTTTAAAAAATTTGAACAAAACCAAAACAATACCAAGTGATAAGTAAAGATACAAAGACATTAAAAATATGCGAACCACATAAAGAGCACCTTCAAGGGTACTAATAGGAACAATTCTGACAGAATAGTAATACTTCATTCTTGGATTTATTAGCCTGACCTAAGAACAATTACCACTACCTTAAGAGAGCAATTAGGGAAACATTTCAGGGCCCTGTTTCTAAGGACTGAATCATCTGTTTTATTCCCTGAGGCCTCTAGGTCACAAGGCCTGGATGTAGAAAAGTTTCTCATTTCTTAGTATCTCATATTAATCAAACCTCACTTCACCTCACATTTACCAGGCACCTACATTACTCCAGGGATTGGCTGTTGCAAGCCTACAATCCCTTTTCTGAAACTTTTGGGGCAAGATGTGTTTTGAAATTAATACTTTCAAATTTTAGAAACGTAGTAAGATACGTATACCAAGTGTCACATAACACCCAGCCAAATCGTAGGGCAATCATAATTAAACCTATTACCACTTCTATAGCAAAATATGTAAGTATTCATATCAGATAGGGCAAATGAAGATTTTTGAATAGCTTTAGTTCAGTTCGGGTTTTTGCCTCTGCATGAGTTTGGTACTCAACTTTTGATAAACTTTTCTGTTTTCAGAGCTTTTTAGATTTTGGAGTTGTGGGTAACGGGCTGAAGACCTACTTGTTTAGGGGACACAAGGGATACAAAGGCAGGCAGCTAACAATCTAGTGAAATAGGCAATTAAACATTTAAAATTATTTCGATTTTAATGCCTATGGTGACAGGATTAACAATTTTAGCAGGAAGTTGATTCTTTCAGCAAAAATGACACTCCTCAAATAAATAAGTACCATAGTATAATAGAAATAAGTTGAAATGTGTACTGACCAACTAACTTTAAAAGGTAATCAGTGTTTGGGATATCATGAAACTATCTCCTAAGGTAGCTTGGATTAGAGTAAGAAGTAAAAGAACTAATGCCGTGGCCTGGAAAAGTCAGAGAAGGATAATTTTCTTGTTTTCCTTCTTAGTTTTGCCACCATGAATCCCATGGGGAAACTGAGTGGCCAATTACTCCACAGTAGTCACCTAAATGGATTGCTACATTTGCTTCTTCCTCCTACATAATTTTAATTTTTACGTTCTACTTTCAGAGCCTTTAAATTTAAATGTTTTCCATTTCAAATCTCACTTTCTGATTTTTTTCTGGAAGAAGTACTGAAGTAAGTTGTAAAGAAATACATTAAATTGGAGGGAGAGACTTTTAAGCAAGCCTAAAATTATTGATGGCTTTTGATTACCTAGAGACAAGGTTTAGTGAATAATTGCATTAACAATGATAATGGTCTTTACATTGACACAATGGGGCTGGGGTAGGGAGGGAGAGAAGAAAGAACAACATTGGGTCATTTTATACCTAGTTCTTGCTCCTGACTGATTGAACAGAAAATATTTACTGTAAGAAGAGCTAGAACAAAGGCTATTTTGCCCTTTATCAGTCACAAACCCTCCTGAAATACTGTGACAACACTATATCACAGCACAAGACCTATTACCTCCTTTGTCTTCTCAACAGTGACTATCCAATGGCCTTTCATCTCTTTCAGAGAAAAGCCAAAATCCTCGCAATAGCCTAAAAGGTCTCATGCCATCAGGATTCTGGGAGCCTCTCTGACTTATTCCTCTACTCAATGCCCCTCTGGCCATGGGCCTCGTTGCTGCTCCTTACAGGTGGCAGATGGGCACCTCCTCAGAGCCTCCGCACCCGCCACCCAGACCACTCCTCCTCCCATGAACCACCAGTACTTGTGTGACTTCCTTCAAGGTTTGCTCAGATGGCCTCTTCCCAGTAAGTGTCTCCTCTGACCACCTTATTTAAAACTATACCCCCCCATTCTGAACTCCCTACTCCCCTTTCCTGCTGTAATTTTCTCTAGAACACTTGCTCCATCTAATGTATTATACTCGTGGTCTGCCTCTCCTCACTGGAATAAATTCCTACAGGGCAGGGAATTTGTCTATGTTTTCAGGGTCTACAACAGTGTCCAGGATGTGGCAAGGATTCAGTAAATATTTGCTGAATATTTGTTAAGTGGTAATCAAGTGATCAATGAGAGAAATAAAAAATTTACAGATTGAGCCTAGGAGATTTTCTAAAATATGGGAGAAAAAAAAGAATAGAATTTAAAAATGGTGTTTAACACTTCAAAATTTTAAAAATTAAAAAGGAAATAGAGGCCATATCTGGGGAATATTATTTTTTCTCAATTTAATTTTATTCACTGCCAGAATAAGGAAATAGGTTAGCATCATGAGACAATCCTTTAAAATAAAGGGGATAGGTGAGGCCAACTGATAACCATCTGAGGAAGCAACAAAAAAGAAGAGTAAATTATGCTGCTGGGGTATAGACTGAAATAGTCAAAGAAACAAGTAAGCTCTGAAGAAGAAACTGCTTTACAGCAAACAGACATGTGCACAGAGGGAAGAGTGGGGGGATTAGAGTGAAGACAGGAGGAATACCTGGGAATGGAAAACCGAACCACAGAGGCGGAGCACGGTAATGTCAACACGAAGACTAGAAATAACACAGAGCAGACAACACGCTGGAGCAATAGCAGTGGTCAAGGTCACCTCAAAGTCTACAAAGACTTAAGCTGGGAAGGAGTTTCCTATCATTTATGACCAAGTGTGAGAAGGCAACCTTCTGACAGTTCAGGTTTGCAGAAACGAAACCAGATATATACCTTATGGAGCCATACCAAAAGGGAGTGAGCTAATTAGGATACATTTAAAGTTAATGTGCTTGGCTGGTCTTCAAAAGCCTCTATAGTACAGTGGAAATACAATCACACAGGAAGAGCAATGTCATTCAAAGGGAAAGAGGCTAACTGCGGTCTGGGAGCACAGGACACTCCTGAGGGCAACAAGCTCTGTCCCAGAAGATGAGTGTGAGCAATCTGGCAACCTGAAATGACAGAGGCCTGGATGACAGGGATGGCATCTGCCAAACTGAGTCTTCTCCTCAAGTTCCCTGTAATTTATTTATTAGAGATAGAGTCTTGCTTTGTCGCCCATTCTAGAGTGCAGTGGCGTGATCACAGCTCAATGCAGCCTCATGTTCCCAGGCTCAAATGCTCCTTCTGCTTCAGCCTCCTTAGTAGCTGGGACTATAGGTGCATGCCACTGTGCCCAACTAATTTTTAAAAACAATTTTTAAAGTTTCTTTGCAGAGATAAAGTCTCGATATGTTGCCCAGTCTGGTCTTGAACTCATGGCCTCAAGCAACCCTCCCTCCCTGGCCTCCCAAAGTGCTAGGAATATAGGCATGAGCCACCATGCCCGGCCGCTGCTGGCAATTTAAAGACGTGGGTGTTGGGTAGAAAAGTTGGCTTTTGATCAATATCAGAAGCTAATCACGAATCTGTAGCATAAAAAGATAAGGTCTTATTGAGTATATTTAACTTACTTATGCTTGCCTGGATCTATCAGAAATTTCATACAAGGGTGAGGGTCTCCGTAAAGGTGGTATTGAGTCTAATTTCCAAGAATCATGAAGTATAGAAAATGAAACCAATGAATTAGAAGAAATCCATGGCAGGAGAAAGAGAGCAAGGCTGCAAAAGACAGAAGGGAAAAAACCCTAGTATTTACTTAAAAATGTCCATCAACAGGGTGCTAATAAAATAATTAACCATTTGATGCAATAGTATGCAGCAGTAGGAAAGACGAATGAATTGGAATGATATGGACTACTTGCCAAAATGTGAGATTTATAGTATACTCTCACTTAGATTTTAAAAAACGGGAAGATACATACACAAATATATTCCTGCATATATATAGAATATCTCTGAGAGGAAGTAACAAACCAGTGTTAGTGGTGGCCTTTGTTGGGTGGAGGGAGCTGGGGGAATTAGTAAGTTGGGAATGGGATAGGTGCTTATTTCCCACTGAACACCTTCTGTGCCCAGCACACAGGAAGTGCTCATAAATATCTGTTAAATGAATGAAAGGAAAATGAAAGTTTCCCTATTTGGATCAGTTTTTAAAAGCTGTATCTTTCGGGATATTAGTGATGACTATGTGTCTATACGTACATGATTATCTAGATATACACATGGAGAATGGCTCCTATCTTTTATTTTTCTTGACCCCTTAATGATAAGAACTGCTAATGATCAGGGAAGCAGTCTAGTAACTTGACAGGCAGTGCACAACTGCCCCAAAGTGGGGAAGCGCTGAGAAGTATTAGAGCTCATTACCTCCCAAGGACAATGGGAGTCCTGAGAATTGTTCCTACAAACATTGGGCTCTTTAGGATAAAACAAGGCAATTTGCAGTAAAGGTCAGTTATGCTAGAATAACTACAGTTTTTTTTTTTTTTTTTTAAGTAGACTGAACCATAGGAGTCCTTAGAAAAGTTGAAAATGCCATTAAGTTTTTTAAAACTCTAAAATACTAAGATAGTGTTATTGTGGAAAGTCTTTCCTGGAAATATAGTTGCAACAATGGTTTACTGCACTACACATTACAAGGCCTTTCACAGATGGCGTGAGGACCTGCACCTACTAAATTACAGACCTTATAGAACTGTGCACTAAATAATGAGAAGTAGAAATTTCCACTGACATTCATAATTTCTGGAAATCCTGCAAAATTACCCATAACACAGTTACAGAGGCTCATAGGACTCTAAGGCACTAAGCATGGACTTTTATTAACTGAAGACATAAAAAGCTCACTCAGTAAAATTAATTTTGTACAATTATTCAACAAGAATACTCAATATTAGATTTTAAATGTGGGCTGTTTTTTAATATGTTAAGCATGTTAAAATAACTATTTTGAAAAGAGACATTCTATTGTTAGTGAAAAATTGATCTAACTGTGATTAAAAGGGAAACTAGGAGGTGTTGAGTCCTTGTTACATCTAGAATATGTGTTAGGTCTTTTATTAAATCCTCACCCAAACTCTGCAAGTATTACTGATCCTCTTTTACAGATTAGGCTTGAGGAAGTTAAAAAATATGTGGAAGTCTACACAGCCCAGATCTGTTCATTACAATTTGAAGCCATGACCTTCCTCTCCTTCATTCTCCTCTCAAAGTGGGGGTGGGGAGAATTATATACAAAGTTGCCCTAATTAATTTCAAATTATAATACCATCTCTGAGTCTTAAGGAGAAAATAAAAAGAAAATAAAACTTGGAATAGAAATGGCTTGTCATATCCTAAAATTTCTATTACCATTTAAATGATTCTTTCAGCCCACTTGTTAGAGAGAATTCATGGAAAATTAATAGTCATTTGAAAGCAAAAGCAGATTTTTATATTTGAATTTGCCACTTACTATCCATAGGATTCTGACAAATCCAGAAAGGCTGCTGGACACTTGTTTGGAGAATGTGCAATGTGTGTTCTCCTCCTCCTGCTCCTCCATTCCCACCAAAGGATTGGATCTGATGGACATCGTTTGCAAGTTAGAGGCAGCAGAGGGAAGAACAGGGCTCAGTGGCACTAGGTGTCACTGTCTAACTCAGTGTTATCAAACTCTTTCACGGTGCAGCCAGCATAAACAGTATTAAGAGACAAGTACATGAGACAATTCTCTAGATGGCTACAAACAACTCACTTCCTGATTTCCACTGGTAGAACCAAGGCCTGCTTTGTTCCTTCTGAACAGAGTTGTTCCTGCTTATCTGGTAGTTGGTTTGGGCAAAGTTCCATTATTCTGGCCATTGGGACCTACAGGCCTGCTGCTAAGCGTGCAGGAGGAAGCAGGCAGAGAAAGAGAGGAGTGTCCCTGTTCTTGAAACAGGCCCCCTGGATCCAGGCTCATAATAGCTGCCAAATCTTAGCCACTAAGAGCCAAAACTTTTAGGTGTTGTTTAGGTTTTAACTTTATTAAACTGAAAAACCCTATTTTCAATTTTATTTGTTGGCATCCCTGTTCTCCTTCCTACTTGGCTTTCAAATAATAAATTCCAGTTGGGGTTCAAACTGTTTCCCAAGATGGTCTCTTGTTAAAATAAATATGGTAAAACCCTGGGGAAGTCTAGGATAAAAGAAATGTATCATAACACAAGGGAGCTCAACTTAATTTTGTTGATAAACCTATAAACACATTTTAGCCATTGCCTATCGTCTCCCCAAGCTACTGTCCAGGGTCTGTAGCAGAGTCAACAAGAATTCTCATTTTCTGAGGAGCTGAACTTCTTTATCAGTATTGTTTCTTTTAACATTATCCTAATGATACATAGTATTTTATGTGTCAGATACTGTACAAAATACTGTACATGCATTATCTCATTTAATCCCCACAACAACCCGAGTTAGGAATTACCATTATATCTGTTTTATAGATAAAGGTTTCTAAGCTGCTAAGTAACAGTGCTGGACTCAAATCCTGGCCCAGCTGACTGCAAGGGCTCTTCCCACCTCTGCATGCTGACCATAAGCTATCAACTCTGGTTATGGCAAATACCAGAGTCTCTGGTAGAAAGATCATGGCTTTGGAATTTAGATAGATTTGCTTTCAACTTCTGGCTCTGTCATATCCTTATGGCTATGGCAAATCACTCTCTGTGCCTAAGTGTTATCATCTATGAAATGGGCATAACAGTGTCTGGCAAAGATCACTGGCAGGACCAAATGAGAAAAATACCCATGATAGTGCTGGGGTAGTTCCTACCACATGTTACAACAGTTATTAGTTTTCCACTTTCTCTTGTCAGAAAGTATGAGGTTCCTGATATTTATTTTTGGTGCGGGAAAAAGGCCCAGATCTTGAATGTTCATCACATGGAAATAGTTCTGAATCCTTTTTATTTTTATTTATTTATTTTTTGCTGGTACATTTATTCTTTGAACAAGGATTTAGCGAGTGGTTTTCTTTATGATAAGACTGAGGTCACATAGCAGCTTTTGGTAGAAGATGACTAAAAGAATGATGAAAAAATGTATTTCCTTTACCCACCCTCAAGAAAAAAAATGGCAAATACCACCAAATTGTAAACTCATTTACTGATTCAGCACACAATTTCAGTAGTGACTGTTAGCCCTCTGACTTGGGTCTTGGCTTTTGGCCCTAGACTCAGTCCTAGGCTGAAAGGTTGATTCAGGTACAGTTAAGTTTTCTGGTTAAAATCATCATTGGGTTCAATGATCCATTGTCCTTCTGAAAGGCAGCACAAGTAAAGAAGCTACAAATACACTTCCAAACTATGCTTTAGTGCTGGTTTTATCCTAACCACATACTGCACAGCCAAGAGAAATTTAGCAGGAGTTGAGCAAATAAACAGACCAAATACCTCTGGCAGAGAGCCTGATGCAGCAACTAATGTAAGCTGCAAAAACTGACAGGCATTTGTTTCTTCCCACTTTGAGATTGGTCACTTCAGAACATGAGTCCAAGGCACATATCCTTAAGAGGAGACACTCAACTGATGTCTCATTTGCAAGATTATCCTTCAGTTCCAGGCTTTCAACAGGATGTGACTGGTTTACACTCCAACATAGGGAAGGCATTAAAGTTTGAAGCCAGAATGAATGGCCACAATGCCTGATGTTAGACTTTCATAAGTCACCTTGTGGAAACCCGCATCTTCTATCATCTCCTTGAACTCTTCCTGCGATGGGAACCTTCGGATACTCTCTCTGAGGTACTGATAGGACTTCCAGTCTCCTGCAATGACCTCTCCCAGGACAGGAATGACCTGGAAGCTATATAGATGATAAAGCCTGGGTATGAGGGGATTGTTCACTTGGCTAAACTCCAGGCAGAGAAACCGTCCTCCTGGTTTCAGGACCTGATGGGCTTCCTGCAGTGCCGGATCAATGTGTGTAACATTCTGGATCCCAAAGGCTATGGTGTAAATATCAAACTTGTCATCATTAAAGGGCAGTTCTTCAGCATCTCCCAATACCCATGTAAGTCCAACTTTGTGTCCTTGAGCAAAGGTTCTCTGCAGTCCCACCTTTAGCATCTCCTTGTTGATGTTGCAGACCATGACATGGGAACCGCCCAAGGAATCCTCTTCATTCTGGTATTTTTTGGCAATTTCTTCCCAGGATAAATTTTGCTGAACCCTTAACTGCCTCTTCTGCTTTCTCTGATGCTGCGCCTGTGCCTCCAGCACCATCGAGCAGCTGGGTCCCAGGAACTGGACACATCTCCAGAGCAGCGAGTCCTTCCCAACACGATGGATATCAAGACTTAACTTATCATGTCACTCATCACATCATACATCTTGGCCACACTTTCAAAGACATGATAGAATTTTCCCCCCTTCTCTTCCTCCGATACAGTCTCAAACCCGAAGTGCATTTCCATTGTTGGTTTCTCTTGGGACAAGAGCCACACACCCAGTGGGCCCCGAGGCCAGGCGCTAAGACATACCGCCCGCGACCATCCACGGCTGCAGTAACTCCAGAGCACCTAGTTCTGAATCCTTAAACAGGTGTTTCTACTCTGAGAGGCCAGGAAAGGAAAGGGAGAAGAAATGGCTATTACTTGTGCTGGAGCTCAGAAAACACTACCACAAAATGAAGGCCTCTGAAGCAAAAGTTTCTCTCTGTCATTCTTCTGCACTCCTGTCTCTGACCACTCAATCTCTTGAGGCTAGGCATAGAAATAGAATCCCTCTTCCCCAAGGTAAGTCACAGAAACCAAAACCCCTTTCCCCTAAAGCCAACTATAAATCCTTAACATAATACTTGCCCCACCCCTTTCTGTGTAAAAACTGGCCATAAAGAAATCATCTGATCTACCTTATTTGACTGTAGGTCCTAAGACCCCATTCCAGAGAGGGTCCTGCCCCACACTCAGAAGGAAGGATGCTGCACAGAGAGGCCAAAGGAATCCAAATAGAAAGGCCTTGCTGGGTTTCCCTACTCAGTCTATTAGCATCAGATCATACCCTTTTTGTCCAATCACATTTCTACATGACTGTTGATACTTTGTTGACCCTAAGCATAAAAACAGTTTCTCCTGTATATTTGGGTGTTCATTCTGAAGGCTCTTGTGTCATTTGCAAAACAATTAATTAGATGAAGTTATATGCCTTTTCTCCTATTAATCTGTCTTTTGTCCACTGATTTTCAGTGAACCTTCAGATAGTGAAGGGGAAGTTTTCCTTTGCTCCTACTCTTGTAAATAATGGTCCCAGTAAAACTGTATTTTTTTCTCTTGTGCCTCTATCCTGACACCTACTTTGGCAGCTTGACCTTTCCTAACACTGGATCAATCTTTTCAGGTTCTTTTACTTCTGTATCCCAGTTGTCAAAGTGCTACCTGGATTAACAATTCAATGTGAACAGGAGTTAACACATGTGCATTCTAAAGAGCTGTTCTATGGGGAAACTCCTTCTCACTGTTGTTTATACTGAGTAGTGAGGCCAATTGTTGCTCTAAACCTAGCAAGAAAGGTGACTACCCTACTAGATTTTCAGAGTGCAGCTCTCAGTGGCCCTATGAGGAGGGATGGGGCCTAGAGTGGAGCTAGGGACACTTGCCACATCTCTGAAGGGCAGTGAGAGCAATGGCTATGTGATTTCTCAATTTGAAGGAAAATATGTGGGCTCTCATAGTAGGCAGGGGCTGGGCAACCAGAACTTTGAAGGTACTTCCTTGTAGATTTTAGTATTTTGCTGAGTAAATCATTAAGAAATAAGTTTAAGGTAGCTTACTTACAGAAAAAAAAATGGGAACCAAAAGGAAAACTATAGTCCATAAAATTGAATAAATTAGATATATAAAAGCAGTAGTCCTTTAGTATCCATGGGGGTTGGTTCCAGGACCTCTCCCAGATATCAGAATCCACAGATGCTCAAATCCCTGATAGAAAATGCCCTAGTATTTGCATATAACCTATGTATATCCTCCCTTATACTTTGAAGCAGCTCTAGATTGCTTAGAACACCTTATACAATGTAAATGCTATGTAAATAGTTGTTATACTGCATTGTTCAGGGGATAATGACAAGAAAAAAAGTCTGTGCATGTTCAGTACAGATGCAATTTTTAAAAAATATTTTCAGTCCACGGTTGTCTGAACCCATGGATACAGAGGGCTGACTGTATATCATGAAGGAAGAGGAAAGAAGCATTCTTTATGAAAGAATTTAAAAGCCAATTACCTAAAATATTAATGGCAGTAAAAGAAAAAAATAACACAATGTGGTTTGTTAAATTCAAGTAACTAATTATTCTTTTGGAGCCATATAATATCCCAAATGAAAAATACATTTTAAAAACTTTATTATTTAAAATATATTTTAATAACTCTCAATTTCAACGAATTTTTTCTTCATTTTAATTATTCTTTTATTAGTTCTTATTCTGGAAGAAATTGTGATTTAAAGTGCTTCTGATGAAAAACAGTTGAAAACTGTAAGAAATCCTTTTTTGTTTTAAATACATTTAGAAAGATAAAGTTAAGTTGTTTACCTCTTTGGCAAAAATGATCTGTCCCATGCATAAGACTTTATTCATTATTACAAAACATTCAAGTCAGTCTCTTTACCCAAATCTAAGAGTGACTTAGTAGCACATAGCGTTAACTAAAGAGCTAATGACTTCCCTAGGACACTAATCAAGAGAAATGGAAATTTCTGAAAGCTTTATTAACCTCATTCTCTCATTCTTTTTTTTGTTCATATTACTAGAATCGTTAACATTCAGTTGAGTCACATAGTTGAAATTTAGACCCTGATAACTAACTTCAACATGGGAAAAGCAGCAGATTGTTTCCCTGAGGGCTTATCCCCATAACAAATACCTGTGCACACTGTCTTTCTGGGAGTCTCCGACATTTCCTGCGTCAGGTGTATCTTGACAGGACTGGTGAACACGGAGACATCTCCTGCAAAAGAGCTTTAGTGAGCTGCACAAATGTCTCATAGCAAGAAGTCTTCCCCTAACAAATTAAAAATGGGCCCCTTCTTCTTTTTAAATTTTGTTTTTCAATAGCAGTTGGAACACTTAAGTATCTGGAATAACTAACAAGATGACAGTTGGTGAAGAAAACCTTTTCCTTAGTGGGATAAACAGAAAGATAAGGTTTCAACATCAGAATGTGCAGTCAGTTGGAACAATTAAACTAGGACACATGCAGAAGGTTGGAAGTTTCTTGCCTTTGGTCAAAACACCATGATTATGAAACTAACATGGTAAAGATCATAACATTTCAACAATAATACAGTTAAAAGTAAGGGGCTGGAATCACAAAGATATTATTTTTATACTGTAATTTCAAAAGTAGGTTTACTTTATATAGAAGAGGCATTTTTGAGGAGTGTGCAAACTTCATTGTAAAAAATGAATTGTTCCATTGCTTTATAATATATTCTACAGATACTTTATCTTCACATCTGATTTATCTTCAACTCACAGTGATTTAGAATATTTTTTTGCTGTAAGTTTTTCTATATCTCAGCTTTTATGTCAAATAGTACATGATTTGTAAGTACAAACGCAAAGGTTGGACAGCCGTGGATCTCTCAGAAGTAAAATATTCCCTTCTTATGTGGATAATCACTCCTTAGCACTTCTGGTAATTCTTGACTATTACTTATTTCTTTAATCAAGGCATGTCTTTCCTCAACATAGAGAGAGCCTCTGCAACACTGATACTCTGAAGAATTAAAAAAGAGAGAACATGATGTCCTGGGCACTGACTGGTGCTGAGATAGCTGGTTTGCAGTAGTTACCTTTATGGAGCTCGCCAGACTGGCTGCATGCGGATTAACCAGCATCTGCAGATTCTGAGGTATGGCTAAGGTAATCAACCCTGACCTGAGCTAGCATAAGAGGCAAAGCCATTAGCCTTTGAAAGCTGCGTACCACTGTGGATTCTTCTACCTTTGAATTTTGCTGGACTTCTCCATCACCATCTTTATTGTCCTTTGACGATAACTATACAACCTGAAGGCAATATCTACTCTCATCTATGGGTTAGGAATGTGTGGAAGTCAAGGCTCCATTTTCCCTGAAGAGGCGGAGTGATTACACAGCCCGCCTGCGCTCCTTACCTGGAGGCTATGTGTGCTTATGTCTGTGTCCTTAGGCAGACACTCCAGGTTCCAGAACCAGCCTCAAGGCTGTTGGAGGTTCACCCCTGGCCATTTTCCTCCAGAACCTTCCCCACGCCTGTGCCTGAAGCCTAGTGCTGAGAACCACTGAGAACAATGGACAACGTTATAAGTTTAAGGTTTCCAGTCTCAAAACCTATTCCACATTCCATTTACTTGTGCCTAACAGACCCCTTCAGATCCTCACGGGAGTGGCCTAGGTTTCTCCCTGTCTTTCGAGGCCCTCTCCCTCTCCCCCACCCCTGCTTAATCCCGGGGCCATCTTTCTCTTTCCAATGATTTTTGACATTGATTTCATGGAAAAGAGAGGCCATGATGTGGAAACTCATTCACTGTCCCTTCTTGCTACTTCTAAACTCTCCTTTTGACTTTGATTATACCACACAAATTTTATTAAAAACCTTTTCTGGGGTGAGGAGAATGGAGGGAGAAGCACTGTCACTCTCAATATATGACTCATCCACTTCAAGTCTCAAAACATCAAAATGCAAAAAAGGGTACATTTTAGAATAAGGAAACGGAGTATTCCCCAGCCTGCTCTGGACCCCACACTTGTCTCCAGGCCCCTGGAGCTGCATCAGGGATCCTGTACCATCAGTGGCTCCCATGCTCCTAGGAAGGCCATCCCTGGCCATTATATCTAAGAGGAGCTGCTCAGCCCCATGTGATCACTTGCTGTTTTCTTTTTCTGCTTTAAGTGTCCTTTGTGGTACTTATCTTTATAACATATATTATTATGCATCTCTTCCCAGTAGAATGTAAGCTCCAAGAAAGCAGGGGCTTGTTTGTTCACTGTCAGGACCTCAGTCTCTAGATCTGGCATATAACATTTTTTTAAACCAAATGAGCGAACTATTTACTCTTAACCATATTGACTTGTTCTCTCCTATGCTTTTCCTGAACACAAAAATGTAAAAAGAGTAATGTCAGCAATAAAGAGTCCTTGAGCCCTATCTCGTTTCTTTTCTTCATGAGAAAATTTACTATAGATGTGTATATATTCCCTGTCTCTACTCATCAATTTCTATTCTTCCCCAAACCCGTAGAATCCTCACATTCTATTATGAAGGCCTCATTCAAGCAATGAAATGCCCTCATTCAAGTCAGACTGAATGCTTAAATCAATTATCTCACTTAATCCTCCACCAAATCTTGATATGAACATCTCACAAAGCTGGTGAGAACTAGATTTGAACCCAGGTCTGTCTGGGACTAAAGTTGTTCTCCCTCCATTCCAACACAGTGAACTTAACTGAGGTGCTTAGCAATTTATCTGTTTACATGTCAGTCTCTTCCACTGGCTAGTGAGTGCCACATAATCCATCTCAATGTTGAGAAAATAAAGATTTTTTTGACTAACCCTTTTCTAATCAAGAAGTGTAACCATTAGGAGAGAGAGTGCTTCCTTCTAACAGAAATCTGCAGCACGGTTGCCAGAGAGGCAGTTAATGGAATGTGCACAGAGCAGGTAGCAATCCCCTGGCACTTAAAAGCCAGCTTCTTGTATCAGCGGCCTTTTACAGAACTTATGGTGACCAAATGACGCTTACCCCCAGAATGTAACTTTTTAAAAGCAACAATTACACAATAAATTTAATGACACTTTTAAAAACACTGACAAAGTAGTTTTTTGATGAGCAAAAGTGAAGGGAAAAATAATTACTCAGGTCTTTTATCATTTTAAAAACAATGAAAATTTCTTAAATATTTCTCAATTCCATACCACCTACTTTTAAAATTGAGGTCACTAAAGAACATTGGGACTGAAAGAAAAGTCTAAAAATGCCAAAAGGGAATTTCTATATTCCTCATGTGGCAAGTCCTGCTCCGTTAGTAAACTGGATTAAAAAAATCAGTGCTGTGGTATATGGTTTGGATCTGAGGAATTTTCTTTTTTTGGGGAGAGTGAGAGAGGAGTTTCTCAGAGAAAACAAGACAAATTGCATTACATGTAAGGCAGGGAGCAGAGGTCTGGCTTTGGTTCTTCTATTTACTACTGAAATGAATTTGAGCAAAATAATAATCCTTTATCCTTACTGGCCTTAGTTTCTTTCCTTTAGCAAGAGAGGATTAAACTAGATCACAGTTTCTCAAAGACTGGTCTGCAGAACCTTGGGGAGGGTCCCATCATTCTCTTTTCATACTGATATTAAGCTTTCATTCTTCTTTTCCATTGTGTTAACATTTGCACAGGGCAAATGAGATTACGGGTAAAATTCTGGCATGGTAGCCTGAATGAAGGCAATGACAGCAAACTGTCCAAGCAGCCATATTCTTCACCATTACACTTTCAGAAGAAAAACAAAAAACCAGTGCAAAATTTTAGTTTTATGAAATCTTTACCCTTGAGGACATGCCTTTTTAATATTCAGTGTGATAAAATGGCTCACACTTCTGCTAAGTAAACTTCTGCTGCATATGGAATTATGACTGTTATCTTGAGAAAAAAGCATTCAATTCAGTTGCGAAGCTGAACTACTTGCTTTTTTCATGGAATGAAAACTACTTGCTTTTTTCATTTTCAATTGAAAGAACATCTGACAGATGTATGTTGAAATATGTTGAAAAAACATATTTAGACTTGGGTATCTGGCAGACATTTTCTCAAAAGTCAAAGAACAGAACTTGTCATTACAAGAAAAAACTTCTAACAGTATTTGTTGTTGATAAAAATTATTATTTCCAGTAGCAATTAGAATTTTGGAAAATTTGAATTTACCACCAAGAACTTGAAATTTCCCATTGCTTAATGAGTTTTCAGATGAGACTGGTGGTTATGTTAATAAATGCGATTCTTAAAACATCGTACAATGAAGTAAATGGAAGATGGGGATAACTCCGTGAATTAATGTTTTCTAAATGACTAATGCATGATGACACATGCATGCATAAAAGACTCATTCAAGTTTAAGACAGACCAAAATGTAACAGAATACAAAAAGTACATTGATATGGTCTTAAATTTCACATTACAACTAAACTTTAAGAAGCTACCATCAGACAAGGTTTGGTGTAGTATCAAAGAAACATATCCACAATTATTTGAAACACTCCCTCCCTTTCTAGCTACTGTAAAGCTGGATTTTCTTCAAATACTTCAACATAAACAATATCACAATGGACTGAATGCAGGACCAGGTATGAGACTCAAACTGTCTTCAATGAAGCCAGACTTTAAATGCTTATAAACACTAGATATGGTAACTATTGGTAGATATAACCCATATAAATGCATGCTCTTTAGAGTCCTCAATAATTTTTGAGAGTATAATGGAATCCTGAACCTAAAAAGTTTGAGAACTGCTGAACTAGATGAAATCTAACTTCCCATCTCTTTTGAGATTCTAAGATTATGTGTGTGTATGTGAGAGAGAGAATGAGAATAGAAAATCAAATTCAGAAACGTTTTGCTTTTTGTTGTTAGGTTTTTATTCCCTTCACCTTTGTTTCTTTGAGAATAATATGGCAGAGCAATAGGAGAGAGTTTTGATAATAAAGTGTTAAATGGTAACTCAGTCTAATAAAAATATTAATTGTTTTTAAAATATCACTAGTTGACAATGTTAGAATACATATTAAATAATAAAATGCTTAACAAAAATCTTACAAATACATAATGTTTTAGAAGCTTATTTTACATAAATTGAGTTTATATTTATGGAATATCCCATAAATGTGAACTGATGACATTTACATTTTTCTCCAATTTTAAGAACTACCAACACAAGATTCTTTTGGTATTTTATAATCTTTTTAAAAAAACAGAGCATTGTTTATAAAGGATTTTAACAAAAAGCATTCAAAATAATTTAAAAGTATTTTATCAAAACTAAAATAATCATAAGTTGCTCTTTCTAATTAATATAAGTTGGATGCTGGAATTTCTATGTTTTTAATTTCTATGTTTTCTAATGTTTTTAGGATTTTGATTCCAATCAATTTAAAGACAGGAACATTATCTCTACCCTATTAAAAGTGTTACTAGATTTATGAATTTCACTATTACTATTAGACTTTTAGAAACATAAAAATGCTTGGCCTATATTTTTCGCTTGCATAACATACTAAACACCTGTCAAACAACTTTGCTTTTATCCCTGCTCAACTCATCACGCCAACCATCTGCATAAATAAAGATGTAAGCATCTGCTCTACTGCAAATGGTCTCAAGGGCAGATGTTTCCATCCTCGTGTTCATGTCACTGGGGCTGGATACATTATTTGAACAGATGTACACAATCTGAAAGTCTTGTGTCCCACAGTGAAATGTCTCCAACTGCTTTCTGTCAAAGTACATAAATGCTATTTGCACCTGCATTTATGTTAATGATATAAAGACAGCAGGGGTTCTGACAATGTGAGATGTGAGGCTATGAAATATATTTACACGGTTAATTGGAATTTCTGAGAGACTCTGCTGCCAAACGGCCACACTGACATTGATATATACCCAAATAAATTATGTGATTACCAGACTGATTTTTAAGCAGTAGAAATATGGCCATTTCAAGCAACAAAAATACTCATAATCTGAATTTACTAATAAGAATACTTTGAACTCTAATATTTTATCCCAAAATAAGAAAACAACTTCCATATAAGGTTTACTTAATAAGTCTTAGGTGACCCAGGTCATTTCCATTTCATCCTACAAGGGTGTGTTTTACATATGTCCTTCTGTCAACAGCATAACATACTAATAACATACAATGGTATTTTGCAGAAGTTATTACATTGGAAAGTTCCAATTTCCAACATTAAGAAGTTAACCAAAACCAGCTTGAAAATGTCAATCTGTACTTAGTCTGCAGCATAAAACGGTACCAAAAGTCTAAGAATTGCATTTATACCACTTGTTAAGATCAAAATGTTTCCATATGAATTTCACATATTTGGAAACATAACATTTTGGTAATACATAGGAAGTGATTTCCCCCCCCAATAATGAGGTCACAAAGCAATGTTAACCACTAAAGGCAAAGCATCATATTACAGTGGTTCTCCTTGCTACTGTGTATAGTAGTTTTCTTTGTAGCTTTATTGAGCTAGGAACTTATGGTTACTTTCAAATAATGTATATTTATTACTTTATTAACTTGAAATTAGTTATATCAACTATTCACAATGTCATTATATTTGAGTTAAATGCCATCCTGAATAACTTCTATTCTGCAAATTATACTGAGACTTCTACTGTGTTTCCAAAGAGTTTTACATTCATATACAGTAGATTCTCATTGTTTGCAGGTTCTATATTTGCAAATTTGCCTACTTGCTTAAACTTAAATTTGTAGCCTCAAAGTCAATACTCAGTGCTTTTATGGCCATTCATTGACATGTGCAGAGAGACATGTGGAGAGAATTTGACCCACCTGACATGCACATTCCCAACTGAGGTTGAACAAGGTGATGCTCTGTTCTCTTGTTTCAGCTCTCATAATTTAAATATGTGCCCTTTTCATAGTCTATTTTGTGCCTTGTTTTTTGCATTTTTGAGCTTTTTCTAGGTGATTTCACTGTTTAGCATAGCCCTCAAGCATAGTGCTGAAGTGTTCGCCAGTGTTCTAAGTACAAAAAGACTGTGATGTGCTTTATGGAGAAAATATTTGTGTTAGGTAAGTTTTGTTCAGGCATAAATTATAGTGCTATGTCTCTGAGTTCAATGTTAAAGAGTTAGTAATATATATTTAATAAGGTATCTTTAAACAGAAATAATCATTGACAAAAACGTAGCGACCAGAGGCCCACAGGAACCTAACCTTGCATGTCTCCTAGGAGCTATGGTTCAGTATTTACTAATTCAGTGCTCCCAGTGACTTTATAGAACACAATTGCTGCAAATAACAAAGATTCACGGTACCTTATCTCATTTGACTGTTACAGGGCAAGAATTATTATCCCTATTGCACAGTTGAAGGGACTGGGGTTTACGGATTTAGCCAAGATCACAGAGCCTAAAAAGGACATAAAAATGAGTCAGCTGTCCAGCTTAGTGTTCTTTCATCAGATGGAGAGGAGAGGGGGATGGTGGGGGAGGGGGAAAAGAAAAAATAGGAAGGGAGCTTAATAGCTTTCATACCATGTTTGAAAGAGTGAAACTGTGGTTAGATAACAAGATAATAAACCACTTTTAGGTTAAATCCCCATAAAAGGAAACTCCTGCTTGGATAGGCAGCCCAGTGTTATTAATTAAAACAGCTGCAAGAGAACAGAGCTTAGTTTGGTTTTACTTTGCCCCCCTTTGCTCCTTGTTCATCACTTATTAAAAGGCAATAAATATTTGTTAAAAAAGCATTTGCTTTCATTGACCTTAGAATTTCATCCAGGTTGGTGTTACATGAAAAAACAAAAAAAAAGATTAAAATGTTTTCACAGCATCAGATGTGTTTATAAAAAATGTTTGAGAGTTCAAAACATTTTTGACATAGTTTAATATATATTTGAGAGCCTACTATATGCCAGGGTGCTTTAATCCCTGCTAAAGGTAGAACATTCATCAAGAACTTTATGAAACACCTAACTGACAGTAAGAATCCAAAATAAGTAAGATCTTTCTTCTAAACTTTTAAAAAGATAAGCATATTAACTAGCTACTCCCAAGTGTTCCTTACTTGAGCTCTGAAGTACTATATTCACTAATACCAAAATGCTTGTGTCTGTAAGAAGTATGTACTTATATGTCTGTAAGACATAAGAATATATTTTTAGACAGTACCATACTATTTATTTTTAAAGTATTTTTTAAAATCAGAAAATACATGTTTTTTTTAAAGATCCAAATATGAATTCACATAATTCACATGATAGTAATTGCTGTGGTTCTGCAGTCAAATAATGCACAGATTGGAAAATTACTAGGTAGCCGTACAGCTCACATGTAGCTACTGCAATGGTTCTGGAGGGGCCATTTGTGTGTCTTTGCCTCAAAGCATTTACTCCTTCCTCACCGCCACTTCTCATTACTTTCATTATTACATATAAATAGCACTCACAATTTGAAAAACACGTTTAAACAATGCAAATGTATGACAAAGTTGAGAAAAGTGGTAGAAGACTTGTATAAGAAGATCTTTCTTTCTACCTGCAGCAGACTTGCCTGTGAAATGGCAAGACTGAACTGTAGAGCTGGCAAATGACTAAGAATTATGAGTGACTCTAGTAAAACAGACCCTCACTTGACTAAAGACTACTTCCTGACCAATGAACAGTGTGACTTGTTTTAATGAACTGTATAGGAACTTAAAATTCATCCTGCCCTACCCAAGATATAAACTTTACTAATCGAATGGCATAACCACAGTGACAATTTTCTTCTTAGTACACAGAAAACATGAATTGTCTCTATCAGAGAACCATTTGGCAATGGTGCTCACCTGTGGCAATTTTCTTATCTGGCAAGCACATAAATTCACTGAATTTTTAATCACTGTTGTGGTTTTGTCTTTTCTTCAACAGATCTAAAGTGGAAGTTACAACTATAGTTGGCCTTATGTTGTCTTCATGCTTTTTTTTTTTTTCTTTAAAAAATACAACTTAGTTAATCATAAAAATATACAAGAAAAAAAGAAAGTTATGGGAACATGGTAAATCCTATCTCCAAATCTGGAATGAATGAGATAGAAAATTATACCAAAATAAGTCTCATGAATTTATGGAGATTCTATAACTGATATTCTCACACAGAAAGGAATAATGATGAAACTAAATTATAACAACCTAAAATACAGCATAAATTATCATTTTAGAGTGATATTACAATGTTAAATATCTCTACCTGAAATTAGAAAACATTTAAATAGAAGAAACTAGAATTTCTCATTAGTTTTTTGTTTGTAATGCTACCAGTTCTTCCTAGTTTAAACCCACATCCCTTGGTCCCTAATTCCACCTGGTTCACTTCTACACATATGTTCAAATCCTAAGCAAATGTCATTTTTTCCATTGTGTTTCCTGACCAGTCTCAAAATCTGTCTTACTCAACTGTTCTTTCATTCTGGTTTTCAAAGTATATCAAACTCACTTCTAGTATAGCATTTGTCATGCTTTATTCCAGTTAATTACTCACATATATGGTGTCCCAATAGGATTTTGTGTTTCCTACAAGCTTAGGCTCTGTCTGATTTATCTTTGGGCTCCTCATAGCATCTGACATAGTTCCTGATATGAATCACCTTGGTGATCACTGAATCTGCTTCTACTGTATGAAATTCTGTTAGGGGCAGTATGCTGGGGCAGCAGATTTTCCTTAAGCCCCATAACTCTGTTGGTGATGTCTTAACCTGAATTTCATACGTAAATGTATATAATATGTTTGTGTGTTTATAAATCAGAAATTCAAAAGTACCATAATTTATAGTCATCAATGATTTGTTAAATAAATCAATCAGCATTTAATTAATAAATGACATGTGTCCAGCAAACTTATGTCACAGAAATGATACTTGATGACAAATATAAACAAAATCAATTAATGAATGATATTTTTGTTTGCTAAAAAATATTAGTAGTAATCCAGGACCCATAGAAAGCATTTGAATAAATTAATGAGAAAATTGATGTATAACCAGGCAATTTTTAGGCCTCATGCACACTTGTGA